AATGTTTTATTATTGTTTAGTTTTTGTTATAATAAGAGTTAAAGGCAGATGATAGTAGGAAGTTTTGTTAATAATTCATTTATTTTGAGAATATCGAACGTCACGTGCTATATTGACGTCGAAAAAATAGAAGGTGGACAGACAATTAGGTAATATAGATATAAATAGTGTGAGACGAGCAGGAAGCAGCAGACAGATAATAGCAAAAGAGAATAAATCTGGTGTGAAGTTAACTACTGTAGAAGTGATAGGCCTAATGTTTAATATGTAATTGAATCAGCCTGAGTGCACTTGACAAAAGGAGCAGAGGATCTTCAAAAGAAAGAAGACCAAATGATTACGGTAACTCGCACCATAATTGTAAAGGAATCACAGAGTACTAGTGCAATAGAAATAGAGAAGATAGTTCGGCTTGTCATCTGAAATTCTAAAGTAATTGAATAAGCATAAGTGGATATTTGACAAGGAGAGAACTACATCTATAGTATTTATGACATGTTCATAATATCTATAGTGTTGAAGAATTTATTGTACATACGTTAACTTGTTCTGAATATATATATTATTTTGAAAACAAGTGAAGTGCATGCTGTTTATTCATCATTGAATTTATCTCTAACGAGTCAGACACCTACTGTAGAAGAATCCTAAGCCCAATAACAACATGGTATATATTTATACTATTAAGAAATGTAACTAAAAGCTTTTTATTTTGACAGTTGATGAAGATCAGATTTTCAAATTCTGACACACATGCTCAGTCCTTTTTTGGCCGGACCTTTTTTGCTCATATAAGGTGTTTTTGATTAACTATCATGATTTTGTGTCAATACATACCAACAAACCACAGCAAGTAAGAAAGTGACACTCGATAGTAACTAATATTAGCTTTAGGATCACAACCTTATTATTTGGAACAGACCTATACTTTACAGAACCAACCAGATTATTTAAAATATATAGTGGTAGTTTTCCTTTTTAAAACAGTGTTAACTTCCTTTATAGTAATGCCATGGAATTTAGATTAACAATTTCTTGTCATCACCCGCACACACTCACTACAGCCAAACTAAGCATCATTATTTATGCTAATTGATTAAGCTGATATCATGTGATGATGAACACTTATTAATTAGGAGAATGTCAGAAAATTTAGCAAACTTATGTTTAAATGTTGACAATGAATAATAACCATCCACCCGTATGATTCTTTTGAAAACTTGAACTAGAAACTGCTAATCTAGTTTGCTTGGTCTAACCAATACATATTTATCTGCACGTGCTTTCACCCTATAGTTTTGATGCTGTAAATCAGCCATCTTTAATCTGAGTGACAGAAAACTAAATACTTTGCACTTTCACTCTTAGGTAAAGCTGTAGTAAAAATTTCAAACCAGTAGCTCCCATGACTTTTTGTGTAGGTGTTTGCAAATATTTTGGTCAAATTTGAGTCATTTTTGTTGAATAACTTTGCACATATGGCTTATATTTAGACTAAATTTCACATATAATTGTGGGTTGTAAAGATCTATCAGTGTATCAAATTTGAAAAAAATCCATAAATATTAAATATGTTTTTCTGTTAAATAACTTTTTAGTTTTGCTTGGCCTAACCAATACTTATGTATGTGCATGCCCTTTCACCCAATAGTTTTCCTGCTCTAAATCAGCTGTCTTCAATCACATTGACAGAAAACGAAAAATGGTGCAATTTTACTCTTAGGTGAAACTGTAGTAAAAATTGCAGACCAGTAGCTCACATTACTTTTTATATAGGCATGAGCAAACATTTGGATCAAATGTGAGGGATTTTTATTGAATAATTTCGCATAAGTATAGTACTTAATTGTAGGTTGTAAAGATCTATCAGTGTACCAAATTAGAAAAAAATCCATAAAAGTTAAGTGTGTTTTTTTATCAAATAAAGTTTCCATACTTTTGGAGTGAAGAAAAAAAAAGAAAACATTCAATTTTTAAATGAAAACATTCATTTTTAAGATTTTATGTCTTGTGTATTTCTTAATGGATTGCCTTGAAATTTGGAATATGAAGTAACAGACCAGTAGTGCACATCCACTGAAAATCTGATACTTTGGATTACCACACTCCAAGCGACAGAAGGTGGAAAATCCCTAAACTATCACTGCTGTTAATAACACAGTGTGTCCTGCAGCTGGTTGTTTTGTTTGCAGACACACTATCATGTGTCTTGATTTTGTCCTTGTAATAATGTATCAAAAGTATCTTTTTTAGATATCATAAGATCAATCTGGTTTTGATGTTAACTGTTTAATCAGACTTTTATATATCCATAACAGATTGTAGTTTATTACAGTAGTAGTTATAGCATTTTTGACATTTGTGTTCACTTATCAAAACTTTGCACATTACTGGAGTTTTTTAATCATTTCATAGCAATTCTATATTTGTTTTTGTGAGTAAAGCTCCTAGCCTTTGGTGTTCTGTTAATCTAAAAAGCTCTCTTTAGTAACTAGAGATTCCTTTTTGATCCTCTGTTAATAAAGTTTTATTTTCTTACTAAAAGCTGTCCCTTTAGTTGAATTATCATTTCTGGTTTTTTACCAGTTTTGAAAATAGACTAGTATTTTCTGTGAAATTCTTGTTTTGTTTTATAGGTGCTGATTACATCAGATTTTTAAAATATCAAAAGCAAAAACAACAGAAAGAGATCAAGGCTCTTCAGAAAGACATCAAAAGCCTAAATTCTGATATAAGGTAATGATATTGTTTAAACCAAAAAAATCAGTTATGCTAATATTACATATTAGTGTCTCTGTTGTATTTCTAAAGTTAATCAGCTTTCCTTATTCAGTTTATTTCAGAGACAGTTGCCAGACACTGGAGCTCCAGTAACCTGCTCTCAAAAAAACAAATTGAAAGGATTCTTTGAAGAATATGTTCGGCAATGTCCTCTTCAAAACTGGAAGTTTTGGATCGTATCCAATTTTTTTTAAATATCAATGTTGAGATTTTTGTATTGCCATATCTGTTATTCAGTGCTTCAAGTCATCTAGTGACCTTGTTTTAATTATTTTACGGTAGCATGTAGTATAAAACAATTTATAGCACAACTTTGTTTGTCTAATATTAGTTTTAAGCACTTTTTTCTTCTACTGCAGAAAGTACCCTTAACCAACTTACAGTTCAGTTTAATAATGGAACGTCTCCTTGAAACTTACAACAGTACTGTTTCTACTGCTAGTGTGGATGAACTCTGTCAAACTGTTTTGGTTTGGCTAGATCAACAGTGTTCTCTTTCTGCTTTAAGACCAAGTATATGATATTTTCTGTACTTTGTGTAAGATTTAATTAGTTAACTCTTTCATAGTTATATGGTATTGATAAGAATAATCCGATAATAATTATTTTTTCAGGGAGATGGATATGACCTAGAGGTTAGCGTGCTTGGAATGTGAATTCAAAGATTCGTGGTTAAACATAAAAATGTGCTTCACACTAGGACTATATAAATTTTAAAATAATTGGCAGTTTTTGCACCACCTATAAAGAAATGATGTATAAATGAAATTAGTGATTGTAAAAACTGTAGAACTTTATTTTCTAGACTTAAAAAAATGATGAATTAATAAATATTTTGTGGAATAATTTTTTGTTTTTGTATTAGTCCTGTTGCAATTATGAATTAGTAAAATTGTTAATTGAGTAGTTTACAACTTTCCAAGCTAGTTTTTTTTAGTGAATTTTGTTGTTGAATAGTTAACATTTTTCATTCTAGTTGAAATTAAATGGTAAATTGCTAAATTTGATTCTATTCATAGTTCATTGGAAGCACACTCAATTTAGGGATGAATTAATGTTAAATTTTACTACCACTAGGTGTCCTGAGTTCCTTATGCCACCTCAGTATTTCCACCAACATCTTGTCAGATCCCTCTAAAATTCCAGATGAAGCCACAAGAGCTGTTGTCAGAAAAGAAAACAATGTATAATTCATTGCAAGTAGTGGCTTTATAACTGTATTAGATATCAATGCCTTTTTGTTTTTCAAGGTTTGCATAATTTCAATGTTTTGTTTATAAAACACTCTTCTAAATGTCTCGTTATTCATCAAATATAATATACATATATAAATGTTGATAAAATTAAAAGATAACTGAATTCCTCTTAAGTGGATATATTTGAATTTCTTAATGACAAATTGGAGTACAAATTTAGAATTTTCCAGCTGGTGACACACGCTTTCATTAAGTCATTTATTGGTTGCTCACTTTAAATGCATGTTTATCAGCATTTATTTATCATATAAAAGCAGAAGAAATATCAAATGCTAAGATCCTTCTAGTCATATTAGTGTGCTCAAACAAAAAGCTTTTTCAATCTTGTATTTTTGTTTGTTCATTATGGTGATGTTCAAAATAACTTTTGCTAGGACAGCTTAAAATGTGACATCAAAAGATGTGTAAATCTATTGAAATCTTCAAAATAGGATGATGGTTGCATGTAATCAGTCTATATGGTAGCTACTATAAGACTTTCATAGCATTTAACATACTTGTGTGAACTTAAAATATCATATAAAATAACTTATGTAATATGACTAAAAATATCTGCCTTAGAGGTGATGTTAGTTGAATATTAAAATTCAAAAAGTGAAAACAATGAAACTTTGAATTAAGAGTATATGTTAATATTACTATTTTAATTAGGAATATTATGTACATATCTTTTTAATATTACTTTTGTAAGAAAAGTGTCAAAAACTTCTTGTAAATTAATGGCTTGTTAGAACTCTGTTATGTTTTTATAAATTTTGTTTTTAATATTTCAAAGTAGGAAAATCTAATTGTGATAATATCAGACATTATTTGACTTAACAATGATAATGAAATGAGTGGGTGTTTGTAATATCAAGAAAAGAAATCTGTCATATTTTATTTAAAAATCTAATTTTTTATGCTATGAAGTTTAAAAAATTTGAACTGCCCTATTTTACCTATTGCATTTTCTTTACCATCTGGTTTTGTACACACTATTATGAATGATATCATTTCACATTTAGTTACAAAACACAATTAAATGCTCTTGTATTGGAACTCTTGAGACAAAGGAGTCTTCTTCTAAGACAAAAAAAAAAAATCATAACATTGTATATTCTAAGAGTTATTCTCTTAGAAGAAAAATGAATTATGAGAGAATGTGTTATATTTTGTGAACGGGTCCCTAACGTTAAACATTGGTGTCGAGAGTATGTAACTTTGGATTTTAAAGAATAACTATAAATACCATAACCTTATCAGGATTTTGACTTACTTTGTTCAGTTTTCTTTAAAAATCAAGATGTTAATTTTAATTTCATTTAAAGTACATTCAAAATTACTACAGTTAGGTAGGTATTAAAAGGGCATCATATGTTCAAAATGCCTCCAGATGTTTGACAATGGGCTTTTCAAGAACTAATTATCATCACTTCAATTAGGTCAGTGGTAAATAATTTAATCCAACAGAGTAATTAAGACCTAAAGTGTAGTAATTTAATTTGCTTTAAATATCCAACAATAGAAACTTTTGATTTATACATTATGTGTGGTCTTTCATACATTATAATATACAACTTTAAAGGGTAAAATAATTAAATTTGATATTCTATATCATAGGTGTATGATTTAAGGACATAAACATGGCTAACAAGTTAGTAGTACATAACTTGTTTGATACATGGTTGTCTCTGGTCAACATTTGTTGGTATTTTTTGTGCTTTAACTGACATATTTATAAACTATTATGTGAGTACCCAACACTTATTTTATAAAATTTACCTAGGAATATGTGAAAAAAATTAAGCTTTCAATATCAGTTACTGGAATGTTGTGTGTCTAGCTTCCTTTTATATTATCACATGTTTATTTTGTCCCTAAATAAGTAAATCTTTAGATCTTCATATCCATTTTTATTCTTGCTATTGCAACAATAGTTTTATACTTTATTTCTAACTAACATACTTTTGGTTAAGATACATTACATTGAATTCTGTGTTTTTGTGCCATTTTGAAATTAAAAATTTCCATACTTTTTCTTAATTATTTAATACTAAAAGAAAATACAATATTTTTTCTTCCTTTTTAATTATAGTGTATGATTAAAACTTGTTCTATGATGAGTTATATTTTCATTGTGTTCAAATAAAATTTTATTTATGTTTTCCAACAGTATCTTAAATTTGTATATAAAGTTGTTATAACATATAAAGTGAACTTTGATGCTGTATGACCAGATTGAAATTTTCATTTTCTATAAGTGTAGAGCATCCTTTTTTCTACGTGAAATGTGCTTTGTAAAATGTAGTAGACAGTGATGATTTTCTATGATGATTAAATGCGTTGAATATTTATTTGAGGACATCTATAGTTAAGGAAATTTGAATCTAAAGTGTTATATACAAATTTTGAGGAAGTCCGTAAAGAATAAAGTTGTTATAAATAAACTGCCAAAGGAATGTAATTCCTTCTGATAAATAGATTCTGTTTTCACATAACCTTTTTGTTAAACCGGTGATAAGAGTATATGGATAATATCTAATTCATGCTTTCCATAGAATTGACACGTTGGAGTAGATCCACACTTTTATATTTGTTAGATGAAGGAGTTCCCTAAGCAAATGCGTACGGTCTCTTTTTACATGGAGTTAGGCTTCTTTTAGTTTTGAAAATCCTTTAACGATCCTCTAAAGATACACCATCATAAAAGTTTTTCTTACCTGCATTGCAGTGTTTCTGATCAATCTTTCATGACTATGAATAATGGTAACCCACATAACAATGACATTAAAAAGCCCATATTATCTGTCGCATTCGATTTGGTAAAACAGCTCTAAAATCACTTGATAGAGTTGGAGTTTTCGCCACCATTCGTATCTAAGTTACACAAGAGAAACACCAGTCTCTTCAAGCAAGTTAGAGAAAGAGGGGCACGTGAGCTCAAATTAGCTTAATTCACTAATCATTCAGGCACTTTATAATATTTAATAAGTTTCCATTAATTTTCTTGGTTTGAAGAAAATGATGAAAATTATCCTGGTAGAAAAAGTTTAATTTTTCTGTAGCCAACAAATTAAATTGTTTGATCTGCTGCCACACCCGGATAAACGATGAGCACATTAAGCTCTTCACTTGTGTACAAAACACTTTACTGAGCTATGATGGATTGATTAAATATTAAGAGAGAAATGGGCTATGATCTGTTCATTAGTGGTTAAGACGAAAACAAATTTCACCAAACAGAAGTAATGGTGCATTGTGAAACAATTGTTACATCCTTTTTTAAAGAAAATACACACTCACGCGTTATTTTTAATAGTTATTGTGTAACACGGCCATAGGATGCGAAGAAAGTGAGAGTTTTTATTAGCTAATGTTCTTGTTACTCCTGAAACACTACAGTCTTTGGTATAATGTATCCAGCTTTAACTCTAGAATGGCCGAGTTTGTGAAAAATACCAAAATTTATTCGACTCGGGTCTGAAGCTTTGTATGCTACTTCATTGTTGTACGTACCAAATTTGTTATTGGATTTTTAGATAACAAAAGGATGATACAAATTAGATTCCACAATAAACAAAGAATTTGTAATTTACATCTTATATATTTGTCCTAACCAAACTTTTCCCGAAGAATTAACTTCTGGCCTCATCTTGCAAATCAAAAGATATTCTCCTATACTGAAACTTCTTTCATCATTGGTCCTTGCAAGGATCTTAAACAAATTAGAATGAAACCACAGCTTCACATTATCCTAGGGCATGTTCTAATATACTTTCATTATACGTGTTAATAATTTCGTTTTTGTAGAACCAATATAGCCTTACTTACAGCAAAGACAAGTAAATTCATAAACTACTAACGATGACTGTAAAGCTGATATATCTTCCTTAAATACAAAGAGTAAGAGACAATTAGGTTTAAACACACACCTTAAATGTACCTGTGGATATACCCTTCGGGTAACTTGTTTCAGCTGATTCTTAATAAATAAATAAAGAATATTTACCCATAAATAGTAAACTGATGACTAAGGAGAATTTAATTGGATTTACAGTACAAAAACTTCGCTTATTCAAATAAGTACGAAATATTTTTTTAATCTCAACATTACATGGAAAAAAACATTTCCATAAAAAAATCATTGGTGTTAGTAAATTCTTTATGCATAGCTTCGCAAGTGCTACATATTTTGTACACACAGTGAAATAATATTTTAATAATGCAGGTACAATAAAGCATTTTAGCTTTAATGGCTTGCTCCAGCAAGTGTCTTCGATCTGAATAAGGTCTTACTATAGAAGCTGAAACTTCGACTTCTCCAGAAACGGGCAGAAGCAGTCCGTTAAAGCCAAAATACTACTAGATAATTTGTTCTCTATGCCTTACCCAAGTAGGTATATCGGATCCGCCTTTTTTGATACAACACACTTGAGTTGAGTCTGTGGATATAAATCCTTGGCCATCCTATTACTTAGGTAAGATATTAACGGTAAACAGGTCTAGTTTAACTTCATACTATTTGAACTTTTGATATTTTGAGGTGAACTGATTTCCCTACAAGTATAGGATATAACTGCTAATAACAGTAGGCCCAAACAGAAAATTCGCTGAATTACCTGAATCTTAAAACCCGGCTGAGTTTTTAAGTTACATGAAAAATAAATGAATTGGAGACGTCTTAAGAATAGTGAAAACAATCTTTATTAGAAACACAACAACAACAAAAAGTGTGTGTACACCTGCATAGACAAATGGATGGTCATCTCTACTGATCAGTGATTAGATCTTCAAGTTTTTTTACCCTCGAATTTAATTGTTGTAAAATCAACTCCGATGAAAGTTAAGTAGGGAAAATTTTAAAATCTAGGTTTCATGGTTGCATGAAACCATTGGTTTCTTAGTCTTATAATAGTGTGACCAATCACTTCTTAAAATTCACAGTCTTGGAAGTTTCAATGTCGTCTCCTAGGTCAATGACTGGATACCTTCTTTATCAACACAGAAAGGGACACTTGATCCAAAAAGTGCAGAGAGTGAGAAACGTCATGCTTGACTAAAGAAACTCCAATATTCCTCTAACAACCAAGTAAAATGCGGGGTATACTAAGTGTATATATTTGCTATGATATATAAGCTACAGTTTGTGAATTTCATTTGCTACTGATTCACTTGATCTTTAATATTTCAACTCAAACCAGTTGAAATATCTTCTGCATTACCTTTTATGATAAACCAAACATGAAACTGTGTTAATCTTTCTCTCAATCGTAGTGTGAGCTTCTTTTTTGCTACTGTTATATTTTTCAGGAAATTTCAGTATCTGCCAAACATTTCAATATCAAAATTAGAAGGTTCTCTTTCTGATATTAATGAAAGAAATAAATACATTGTGTATTCCAACAATACTTCCCAGGTCAGTTATTACAATTAACCTCATATTCATCAATTCTTGCCATTGAGATCAAATCCCTTATCACAGTAATTTTGTTATATTACACAACTGTTTCATTGATCTTAGATTCGGCGTGTTTCCCAGGTAATTATGTCAAAAATCTAGAGAGTAGATGGTGGCATGCTTCATAGAGCTCTCACCACTCTTGAAACGTCATATGACATTTCACATAAGAAAATTCACTCAGTGGTTTGGAAATCAAAAAGTTACATCTTTTCAGCCACTAATTGTTCATTCATATGACTATCCTAACTTTTTAATCATGTGTGAATCACACAAATGTAGTGAATACGTTATAATGTGCATCACCTGGTAGCTTGAAAAACAAGAAATGCCACTTCCTTTCAGCCTGTAAATGTACAGATTAGTGACTGCCCTAAATGTTGCTGCTTGAGCAGATATCATCTAATATCCTGTGAATATCTTATTTAGTGAAACTCTGCTTACTAACTCGGAAAACAATGAATGTTTTTCTTTCCTTTTAATGATTGGTTACTCGACCTAGTGATTATCTTAGCTGTGGTGTGGGTACCCATTGTTTCCTTGACTAGAAAATCAGCTTTAACTGATGGAGGTCGTTCATTAGTGGCACAATCAATCCTTCTTGGCTGTCCATCGTTGTCCCTGCTACCCTAAACTCTCCCTCT